TGTGTATGGGGGTGGTGGTGGTTTCTAGTTTCTATTGTTAAATGCTGTTGTTGTTAGTTGCGAAGTCGTGTCTGACCCACTGCGACCCCATGGACGACATTCCTCCAGGCCTTCTTGTCCTCCACCATCCCTGAGTCCACTTAAGCTCATGCCAACTGCTTCAGTGACTCCATCCAGCCACCTCCTCCTCTGCCGTCCCCTTCTATTTGCCGTCAGTTGCTCCCAGCATTAGGCTCTTCTCCAGGGAGACCTTCCTTCTCATTAGGTGGCCAAAGTATTTGAGTTTCATCTTCAGGATCTGGACTTCTAAAGAGCAGTCAGGGTTGATCTCCTCTAGGACTGACCGGTTTGATCGCCTTGCAATCCAAGGGGCTCGCAGGAGTCTCCTCCAGCACCACAATTCAAAGGCCTGAATTCTTCGGTGCTCAGACTTCCTTGTGGTCCAACTTTCACATCCATACATTGCAACTGGGAAAACCATAGCCTTGACTTTACACACTTTTGTTGGCAGGGTGATGTCTCTGCTTTTAGTGTGCTGTCTAGATTTGCCATAGCTTTCCTCCCCAGGAGCAAGTGTCTTCTAATTTCTTGGTTGCAGTCCCCATCCGCAGTGATCTTGGAGCCCAAGAAAATAAAATCCGTCACTACCTCCATTTCTTCCCCATCTATTTGCCAGGAAGTAATAGGACCGGATGCCATGATCTTAGTTTTCTTTATGTTGAGTTTCAAGCCAACTTTTACACTCTCCTTCACCCGCATCAAGAGGCTCTTTAGTTCCTCTTCACTTTCTGCCATCAGAGTGGTATCATCTGCATATCTGAGGTTGTTGATATGGCTCCCGGCAATCTGCATGTAAGTTAAATAGGCAGGGCAACAATATATACAGCCTTGCCAAACTCCTTTCTCAATTTTGATCCAATCAGTGGTTCTGTGTCCAGTTCTCACTGTTGCTTCTTGACCAGCATATAGGTTTCTCAAGGGACAAATAAGATGGTCTGCTACTCCCATCTCTTTAAGAACTTGCCACAATTTGTTGTGATCCACACAATCAAAGGCTTTAGCATAGTCAATGGAGCAGAAGTAGATGTTTTTCTGGAACTCCTTAGCTTTCTCCATGATCCAGTGTATGTTGGCAATTTGATCTCATTTGATTTCATGTTGTAAGCCGCCCCGAGGTTTCAGCAAGGGGTGGCATAGAAATGTTATAATAATAATAATAATAATAATAATAATAATAATAATAATAATAATAATAATCTCTAGTTCCTCTGCCTCTTCGAAATCCTGCCTGTACTTCTGGTAATTCTCAGTCCACATACTGCTGGAGCCTAGCTTGTAGGATTTTGAGCATAACTTGCTAGCATGTGAAATGAGTGCAATGGTGTGGTAGTTTAAACATTCTTTGGCATTGCCCCTCTTTGGGATGGGAATGTAAACTGACCTTTTCCAATCCTGTGGCCATTGTTGAGTTTTCCAAATGTGCTGGCATATTGAGTGTAGCACTTTTACTGCATCGTCTTTTAAGGTTTTGAATAGCTCAGCTGGAATACTGTCACCTCCACTAGCTTTGTTGTTGCTCAGACGTCCTAAGGCCCATTTGACTTCACATTCCAGGATGTCTGGCTCGAGGTCAGTGACCACCCCATTGTGGTTATCAGGGACGTTAAGCACTTTCTTGTATAGTTCTTCTGTGTAATCTTGCCACCTCTTCTTAATCTCTTCTGTCTGTTAGGTCCCTGCCATTTTGGTCCTTTATCATGCCCATCTCTGTATGAAATGTTCCCTTCATATCTCCAATTTTCTTGAAGAGATCTCTGGTCCTCCCTATTCTATTGATTTCTTCTATTTCTTTGCACTGTTAATTTAAGAAGGCATTCTTATTTCTTCTAGCTATTCTCTGGAATTCTGCATTCAACTGGGTGTATCTTTCTTTTTCTCCGTTGCCTTTTGCTTCCCTTCTTTCCTCAGCTATTTGTAAAGCTTCCTCAGACAGCCATTTTGCTTTCTTGCATTTCTTTTTCTTTGGGATGGTTTTAGTTACTACCTCTTGTACAATGTTGTGAACCTCCGTCCATAGTTCTTCAGGCACTCTGTCTATCAGATCGAATTTCTTAAATCTGTTGGCCACCTCTACTGTATATTCATCAGGGATATGATTTAGGTCATACCTGAGTGACCTAGTACTTTTCCCTACTTTCTTCATTTTAAGCCTAAAGTTTGCAATGAAAAGCTCATGATCTGCACCACAGTCAGCTCCTGGTCTAGTTTTTACTGACTGTATAG